TGGGGAAATTATGGGGGAACACAGGTTAGAGTTGTGTAGGATGAGAAGGCGCTGATGGGCTGTGATCTGCATCACTGGAAGGATCGCCCCATCGAGGAGACCATGGAGCCAGCAGAACACGAGATCCCACATTGTCTTTATTTGCATAGTTCTAGTCTTTGAGGAGAGATTTTCCTTACCACTCGAGAAGTTCTTCACCCAGAGCCACTTAATACAAGTCTTCCTACAATTCTCTGCATTCTTCATTTTGTTGTTCCTCCCTCCCTCCCTCCTTTCCTTCCTTCCTTCCTTCTTTCTTTCATCCTTCCTTCCTTACTCCTTTCCTTCCTTCTTTTCTTTATTCTTCCTTCTTTCCTCCTTTCTTTTCTTTCTCACTTCCTCCCTCCTTTCATTCCTTCCTTCCTCCCTTGCTCCCTCCCTCCTTTGCTATTTTCTGCCCTTGCTTCCTTCCTCCTTCCTCCCTTCCTTCTTGTCCTTCCTCCTTCCCTCCCTTTCTTTCTTCCTTCCTTCCCTTCCTTCTTTCTGGTAGTACTCCAATAAGTCAAAGGGAATGGAGCAAGTTGGTAATTTTCTTGCATAATTCCAGATTGATTAATTCTCTGACATCTTAAACAGAGCAGGATAAAGAAAATGTAAACTTTTCTTGATGATTTATCATTGTGACTATTCAGTTTCTGTATTGAGCTATAATACAATGATGTCTTCAGGACCTGTTGTATTATATAAGGCTGTTTGCCCCTGCACTAAATGGCCCCAGAAAGATGTGGTTTGGGGTTCTGACTTCTGCTTTTTAAGGTTTATTGTCTCTGTTAGTTGGTATTTCTTACTAGTGAGTAGGTCTCTGTTAACAGCAGCCTCTTCCCACTTCCAATTTGCTGCAGGCTGTTCAACCAGATAAAAAAAAGTCCTTGTAGAACTTTGTTTTGAGCAAAAGTAAATAGGTTTTGATTGAAAGCCTAAGAGACTGTCCCATGAGCAGAGTGCATGAACCTCACATTATTGATTTAGGCTGTTTGAGGGCTGCCAACCTGATTCTTGGCCATGTTCTAGAATAATCTAGATAGATGAGGTTGCCAGAAGGAAGCGTTCCCTGTAAATGAGGATTTACTCATCTGTAAGTTGAGGACTAGTGCATGAGCAAAGTGCATTAATGTGCTCAGCTGATCTTCAAACCAGCTGATTCTGGATAGAGCTGGAAGCTGGAGATCTTTATTCCTGGAGAGGTTTGATGACCTAGAATGGATGTGCTTTGGGGAGACATTGGAGTATACAGAGACAGCCCATAACTGGTTCCAGTCTGCTAAACATGCAATGAATGGCCGCCTCTTTGTCTACACAGCCAACTGTGTGTGTGTGTGTGTGTGTGTGTGTGGGTGCCTTCAGAGGCACCATGGACTAGAGCCTTGACCATATTTCTTGTGGCGGGTCTCTCTTGACTCCTTTGTCCATGACGGTCTGGGAGAGACAATGCTATATGAGGACAGGACTTGGGTCTTCTCCCTACCAGGGCTACAAGCCTGGGTCCTTTGTCCATTTCCTTTCGGTTTTAAAGATTAATCTGGAGGTTCTGACTGTGTGAATTTGGGAAGGTCAGGAGGGTGATCTCTGAGAGTCTAAATCCAGGTCAGATTTTACAGCCAGCCCAGCACTGATGTCCAGAGGAGCAAGGAGTGACCTTGTGGAGTGACTTTTGATACCCTTTCCAGTGGTAGCTAAGATTCACCCAGACTCATCTGGATGTGAACTTGGTGGGACTGAGGTTATGGAGAACCTATGCTGTCTAATTCTACTCTCCCCACAGACTAAGGTGTTGGGGAAAATGTACTTTTGTTGCTGCTTATGATCAAGCAAATATCATTTTGTAAAAGCTAAGTGGTTAAACAGACCTGGGGTGCTAGTCAGTAGTACCTAACAGTGATGGAGACATGACCAGTGAGAGCTTGAACTGATGATAGCATTAGAGAGGAGACCTCAAACTCTTCAGGGTACCCTTGGAACTCGGATGGGCCTTACTCTGGGAGAGGCCGTATCGCACTCACTACATAGCCGTGCCTGCTCATCTATCCTGCCACCTTGGGGGCCTGAATGAAGGGAGTGGTCACCAGCTGTGCAGAGGGAGAAAACATGGATCCCAGGGATCTTGGGGCAGTGTGGTACAATGAAGAGTATGTCAGATCTGGAGAACGAGGATCTGGCTTGGAATCTTGGCTCTTCTCTTTCTGACCTGTGTGACACTGGGCAAATCACTTATCTTCCAGGCCTGTTTCTGCATGAGCAAAATGAGGGTCTTGGACCAGATAACCAATCTCCAAGATCTCTTCCAGTTCTAAATCTGTGATTCTTGGAAAAGGTAGGTAGGGAGACCCCAGGAGCTCAGCAGGAGGATGGAAGATGGAAAGGATCAGAGAAAACAGAGGCTGGGTAGGCTTCTGGCCATAGGAGCCTGAGCTTTTGAGAGGGAAGGGTACTTTAGATAACTCCCCTCACTTAGTAAGGGGGGAAACTGAGATACAAAAAGATTAAGTGAGTTGCCCGAAGTCACACAGCTAGCAAGGGGCAGAGGCTGGAGCATAGATTTACAGCTGGGAGAGACCTTAGTGGCCATTCAGTCTCATTTGCAGATAGAGAAATGGAGGAAACTGTGGAAACTGAGTCCTAGAAAAGTTAAGTGGCTTACTCATGGTCACCCAGGTAGGGTGAAAGATCTGGTGGTAGTTGGGACCGCAGAGTCCATCCTGCCCCATTCTCTTATTTTATTATTATTATTATTTTTGTTTGGTGAGACAATTGGGGTTAAGTGACTTGCCCACAGTCACATAGCTAATGAGTGTTATGTGTCTGAGGCCAGATTTGAACTCAGGTTCTCCTGACTCCAGGGCCACTGCTCTATCCACTGTTCCACCTAGCTGCCCTCTACTCCCTTATTTTCCAGAAGTGTAGACTAAGTCCTAGAGAGATGAAGTGACTTGCCCATGGTCACCCAGGTATTAAGGCAGGATTGAGTCATGCTTTCTGACTCCAAATTAAATGCTTTTTTTTGTACTATACCACTCTCAGTAGGCTTGGAAATATGGCTCAGGAGACAGGTGAAGACTTTGGGAGTCATCTGAATGGAGGTGATCATCTGGGCCTGAATATGGGTCACACCCCTAAAATGTTGTTATTCAGTCATGTCTGACCCTTTGTGACCCCATTTAGAGTTTTCTGTGGCAAAGATACGGGAGTGGTGTGCCATTTCCTGCTCTGGCTCATTTTACAGATGAGAAAACTGAGGCAAGCAGGGTTAAGTGACTTGCCCAGGGTCACTCACTCAGTAAGTGTCTGAGGTCAAATTTGAACTCAGATCTTCCTGACTCCAGGTCCAGCACTCTATCCACTATGGCTATCTGCCCACCCCTAAAAGAAAATTATAGGGGCAGACAGTCTGTAGGGAGTGTTCCTTCTCCCTTCCCTGAGTAAAGTTTTCAGAGGAAATGCATGTTGGGAATGCAAACTGTCCTTCTGTAAAGTGATGGCGTGACCTGGGAAGACTGCTTCCCTCATCCACCCACCTTCTCCATCTCGGGTATGGGCGATAGCAGCCTGGGCAGTGGGGACACTCATCTGCCTCACAGAAGATTAGCTGGGGCCAAGCCACCCACTGTGAGGGAGAAGTTAGGATGCCTGGTACCCTTCTGACCAAGGGCAGCGGGCTCCCACCACGGGAAATGTCTAAGGAAGGCCGTGGGGGTCCCAGGTCACCACAGCTGGACCTGCTGCTGCCGACAGGGATTTCTTGGAGCTAGAGCTTGGCATGGTCCCAAGGGGGTGGTGGAGAGTGGTCACTGCTAAGGGTGTCACCCGGTAAGGGCTGTGTCTCCTGGCTGGCTGGGGGAGCATTGAAATCCTTCCCACCTGGAGGAGGCAGGAACCAAACTTACTCTGGCAGAGGTGGGGACCGAGCCTGTCTGTGGTCAGCCACTGACCTCAGACCTGTTGGGAACCTGCGGCGGAGGTCGCCGAGGGCTGGGAAGGCACCGCCTGTCACTGTTGGCATCATCCCAGAGCCCAGGGGCCAGCTACTAGGCCCAGGCCGGCTTCACCAGAGGGTCTTTTGTTTACGTGTTACGAGTTAGTTTTCTTCGGTCTTCTGAAAAAAACTTTGCTAATTTTGTTCACTTTGTGATTGGAGGGGGGAAGGGAGGAACCCCTAGCTCTCCCCTGTCTTTTTTTTGGGGGGGGGGGCTCCGAGCAAGAGATGAGAAATTTCCCAAAGCTGACCTAGACCCTTTGAATTCTGGTTGTTTCAGCCCTCTCCCTACTCCCCCAGTCGCCTCATATCTGTTTTGTATTTTCCTATATAATAACAATAGCTAACATTTATACAACATTCACTATGTGCTAGGACCTAGGCTAAACACTTCATAAATACTATCTCCTTTGATCCTTCCAACAACCCAGGGGGTTAAGTACTATTATTATCGCCATTTTATTGATGAGGAAACTGAGGCAAATAGAGGTTAAGGGACTTCTCCAGGGTCACACGGCTAGTAAGAGCTTGAGGCCGGATCTGAACTCAGGTCTTCCTGATTCCAGGCTCATTACACCAACAAGATGCATGCATATATGTGTATATAAATGTGTGTGTATGTGTATATATGTGTGTGTATAGATATAAATATAGAGACAAATCTATAGTATATGCTATGTATAATATATGGTATGTATTATATATAATATAGGCATAGATGGCTACCTATATATATACATATGTATGTTAGATATCGATATCTATGTATGCGTGTATCTATCTAAACATATATGTTTTCTGCCTGGCCCACAGAAGTCACTTACATGCTTATTAACTGACCATATATATGTGTATACATATTTGTATATACATGTATATACAAATGTTGTTCCCCACCCCCTCCCCACAGAATGTAAGTAGGGTGAGGGCAGGGAATGTCCCCCTCTGTATATCCCCAGCCCCTAACACATAGGAGACATTTGACAAACACTTGTGGATGAATCCATCGGGAGTCTCTTTGTAAGTCGGCACTACAAAATCACAGGGATTACAGATCCGTCGGGCTTTCTATAAGCCTGATTTGGGGCCCGGGTCTCTACCGGCCTTCTCAAGTTAGACCAGCACGGTAAGTGAAGCCGGGGAGGCGCTGAGGATCCCAGGGAAGAGAGGCCAAGGGCAATGACGCTCTAGGAGACCCGAGTCTCTTCCCTCTCTTCCCTGCCCATCTCTCTCTTCCTTCGTCCCCTCCCAGGCCCAGACCCCCTGCACTCCAGCCCCATGGAATGCTTTATCATAAGTCAGTAGATTCAGAGCTGGAAGGAAGGCCCAACCCCCTTTTTACAGATGAGGAAACTGAGGCCCAGAGAGGTGAAGTCACTTGGCCAGGGTGTCCCAGCTCTCTGAGGCAGGCTTTGAACTCGGTCTCCTTTGCTCCCAGGCCCATGCTGCCTCTACTGCACCACCTCTCCTGCCCTCACTGGGATGATGGCTAAGTCAGAACATGAACACCCAGTCCTCTCCTGGGGAGTCTGTGGGGGGAGGTCTCTATTGCGGCAGGGTTCGCAGCATGCCTCTCAGCTGCTGAATCTGCCAGTCCACACTGCTTTGGGCCGTCCCGCCCAAGGCTTGGTACTGTTCCACGCTGTTGGCGTAGTTCCACACTTGGCTCACGTCGCTGGTGAACAGGGGGCTGGAAGGCAAGGAGGAAGGGAAAGGTGTGAGGATGGGAGCTGCCCCTCATCCCCTCTTGTCCCACAGAAGGCCCCAGGCAAGATTCCTGTTCGTGGCCTCCCTGAAATCATCCCATTCATTTTCCACCCAAATTCTGCCCACGACCAAGCTCAGCGCTGCCTCCTCCGGGAAGCTTTCCCTGATTTTACACTGGCCCCTGGCTAGACAGAATTGCTTCCTTCCTGACTCTATGTGACCTCTGTGATGCAGCTGACCATTTCCTAGGGAGGCAGCATGAGAAAATGGAAAGAGTCCTAGATTTGGGGTCCAAGGACCTGAGTTTGAATCCTGTCTCTGTGACTTGCCACCCAGAGGTAGCTGGTGGTACGGTAGATAAAATGCTGGGCCTCGAGTCAGGAAGACCTAAGTTCCAACCCAGCAGCAGACACTCACTAGCTGTGTGACCTTGAGCAAGTCACTTACCTCTCTTTGCCTCAGTTTCCTCACCTGTAAAATGGGATCATAATAGCACCCACCTCCCAGGGTGGTCGAGAGCACCAAATGAGATAATATTTGTAAAGTGCTTCACACAGGGCCTGGCACATAGTAGAAGCTATAGAAATACTTATTCCCTTCTCTTCCCCCATGGAACCTTGAGCAAATTACTAACCACTTTGGGGGGCTCCGTTTTCTCATCTGCAAAAGTAGAGAAGGGGCAGCTAGGTGGCGTAATGGATAGAGCACCGGCCCTGGAGTCAGGAGGACCTGAGTTCAAATTTGACCTCAGACACATGATACTTACTAGCTGTGTGCCTCTGGGCAAGTCACTTAACCCTGATTGCCTCTCCAAAAAAAAATGACCTTGGGCAAACCACCACCTAGCAGGGCTTCAGTTTACATGTGTGGAACATTCTCTCAGGCACCAGGCATCCCGGGACAAAAGAAAACCTAGATCCTGTCCTCAGGGAGCTTACAGTCTGGGGGGATGAGGAGAATGAACCACACACAAGTGATTAGAATCCAAGTTCACAGAATTAGGGCCTTAGAGGTCATAGGGAAAAGTGCCACCTTCTCTCACACAGGGAGGGAGAGGTAAGATTTGAACCCAGGTCCTCTGACACCAGAAGCAATGCTTTTTCCACAGTGCCTCTCCCCCTACTAGAATGTGAGCTCCTTGAAGCCAGGGATTAATTCTTTTTTCCCGGTGGCTGGCACATAGTAGGCGTTTAACACAGATTTGTCGATTGATTCAGCATTAGAAGAATCTGGCATGGCACGGGTGTGAGCAATCTCTGCACGAGGCCGACTGCAGCCCTTACAAGGCAGTGTTGTATTTGGTCTCTGACAGTTGATGTGGTTAAAAAAACAAATAACCTGCCAGTGTCAGCCAAGCTGGTGGTGTTTCCCTTAACTTGGCAAAGTTGGTTTGCTCTTGAGAAAGGACAAGACCATCGATTTTCTGGACCTGCCTAGACCTGGGTTCTGCTAGCAGAGTCAGTGAGAACCCACACTGCCCTCCATGCCAGGACGAGCACTAGGGGAGGGCTTTAGCAGTGTAGACATGCATACAGTAGGTGCCTAACGGATGCTTGTTGAATTCAGTGGAGAAGGAGGTGGAGAGCTGGCCAGAGCTGCAGGGGCCTTGGGAAGGGGCTTCCCACCTGATGGTCTGCAGCTCCGTCAAAGAGAGTTGGCTGAGGGCCAGCTTCTTCGTCTCGGCCATGAAGACAGCTTTCCCTGAGGCCTCGTGGGCCCTCCTGAACGGCATCTGGGCCAGAGGGAAAAGGAGGATGGTGATGCCGCCTTTCCCTCCTACCTCCCACGTCTCCCTCCTACCCTTCATGCTTCTTTAGTCCCCTGGCGTGGAGGCAGGGCTCCAACCCTCTGCACCCCATGACATCTGGGGTCTGTGGTCTCTTACCCCTTTCCTGACAAGGTAGTAGGCCAGATCTGTGGCGAGCATGTCTGGGCTGAGAGCCTCCTCCATACATGCCTTGTTGATCTGCAATAATACATATGAGAAACACATTTTAAAAATACCAGAAAATGATCAGCTTATAAGAGGATGCATGCAAATAGGGTAATTTTTTTCAAGAGTCACTTCTAATGTGTTTTTCATGACTTTCACATGTATAATCAAATTTGATCAATATATATCAAGTACATAAAAATATATCAAATTGCTTGCCTTCTCGAGAAGGAGGGCGGGATAGAATGTGGAACTCAAAATTTTTAAAAATGATTGTTAAAAATTGTTTTTACATGTAATTGGGAAATATTTAATGAAATAAATAAAAATATTTTTTAAAAAGTCAATTTTGTTAAATTTAAAATATGCCTTTTATAGGCTTAGAGATGGAAAGGACCTTAGAGGTCATCTTGACCAAACCCCTCTTTTTACCGATGAGGAGCAGAGGTCCCCAGAGGGCAGGTGACTGGTCCAAAGCCAGACGGGTTTTCAGCAGCAGAGCCCTCATCCAACCTGGGGGGTCCTTGGACTCCAAATCCACTGGGGCTCCTCCTGGGCCCCCGGCCTCTCTGCTGACCCCTTCTCTCAGCCCCGCCCCGGCTCTCCAGAATGGGAGGCAGTGGGGAAGACTTTGGGGATAGAGGACTTGGGAGGGGAAGACAAAGGCAAGAGAAATGGTGTAGGAGAGAGTTTTGCCTTCATGGTAGAGATGATGCCAGTGGCCACCTGGAGCACAGAATTCATGGTGTCAAAGACTTCAAAGACGGCCTCTTTGTCCTCCTGTGGGACCAAGGTGGGGAGAGACGTTAGCAGGGAGGGAGGGAGCTACGGAGGGGGTCTCTCTCTGACTCTTCTCCCTTCCGCTGCCCCCAGTCTCTCAATGTTATTGTCCTTTAGGGGTACAAGGACTCCTTTCCCCGGCGCTCTAGCTTCCTCTGGAGCCACGGATGACATTGACCCCAGGGGCCTGGGAAGTGCCCTGCCCTGCCTTCTACCCCCAGACCCAGTCATGAGAGCCTGGTGGGAAGCCGGGGAGGGTTTATTGGCTATAAAGGAAGAGCTCTGCTTTCCTAGGTCTGTGGAGCACCTACTATGTGCCAGGCATTATACTAAATGCTTTACAAATATTGTTCCATTTGATCCTGGTAGGTCCCATCATTATTTCCATTTTACAGTTGAGGAAACTGAGGCAAACAGAGGTTAAGTGATTTGCTCAGGGTCACACATCTAGGAAGGGTCTGAGGCTAGATTTGAACTCGGGTCTTGACTCCAGACCTGGTGCTCTATCCATAGAGCCATCTAGCTCCTGGAGGGAACTCCTACAGAGAGATGAGCAGGCAGGTATTTGTGCAAACATGCTTCCATTCACGGGTGAGCAAGCACACGAGTGCACTGCCCTGAGTACTTGGGAATCAGCTGCATGGGTCAGGGAGCCGCTGAGGAGGGACTCTGGTGTACAGGAAAGGGAGCTAAATTTGGCTTCGGGGCACCTGGGTGGCTATCCCGGCTCTGCCATTTATCAGTCAATACATCACCACGCACTCATTAAGCACCTACTATGTGCCAGGCTACCTACAAGTCTCAGCTACAATCCCGCCTTCTACAGGAACCCTTTCCAGATCCCCCTTAGTTCTTTCTAATTATTTCTCCTTCTAATTATTTACTATTTAATATTTATTAACTGTCCAGTTATTTCTAGTTTCTCCCACACACAGCTCGTTTGTACGTAGTTGTTCCGATGCTGTCTCCCCGCACCCTGAGCGTCTTGAGCTCTGGGACTGTCTTTTGCTTTTCCTTTTATCCCCAGCTCTTAGCATAGTGCCTGGCACACAGTAGGCATTTAATAAATGCCTATTCACTAACAGACGAAATGAAAACAGGCCCTGCCCTCAGGGAGGTTACAGTCTACTGGAAGGGTATACCATCAGTTAGTCCTGGCAGGAGCTGTACCTGTAAGTCTTTGTTGTAAGTGCTTGGAAGTCCCTTGAGCGTCATCAGGAGCCCTGCACACTGAATGATGGGAAACCTGGGAGTGAGACTTGAGGCCTGGACCCCGGGGCCTGCCGAGGCCTTGGGTGTGGGAGGGGAGGGGGAGCTGGGATCCGTGGGAGTGGTGGTCCTCCCCCTCCCTCTGGCACTCGACCCGATTCACTCCTCTGCCCTTCCACACTCCCCCATCTCCTCTTGCCCAGCGCCCCTCACCCGGCCAAACACGCGCCCCACTTTGCTCCGAATCAGCTCGAGACTGTCGGGGTTCTTCTTTTGGGGCATCAGGCTGCTCCCAGTGCTACAGACACAGAAACCACATGTTTAAAATGGGTGAAGATTCCCATCCCACTTGACCTGCATTCCAGAGACTACAGTGGAAAGAAGGCCCTGCTTAGGATTCGTGGGACCTGGGTTCAGATCCTGTCTCCGTTACTACCTTTGGGCATGCCATTTCCTTAGGACTTAGTTTCCTTCTCTGTAAAAGGAGGGGTTGGTCTAGAAGGCCTCTGAGATCCCTAATAGTTCTGTTTCTATGACCCCATTGGTGGGACTTTGGGTTAGCCATTTAACCTCTCTGGGCCTCAGTTTCCCCATCTGTAATAGAAGGGGGTTTGACTCAGTGGCCTCTGAGGCCTGTTTGAGCTCTCAGTCTGGGTTCTGTGACCCCAGGCCAGGCCAAGGCCTGGTTGTCATGGGGAAGAAGCTGAGGGAGCCCACGTGGGGAGAATCGAGAGGCTCTGTTGTCTGGGCTGGTGCGCCCTAGTTGGCCATTGTGGGAGAAGGTCAGGGAACAGGAGAGGGGAGCAGGGCATGGAGGGGGCAGCCCTCACCCTTACCTGTAGGCGTCAGATAGCTGGACGAAGCTAAATTCCTTGGTGCCATAAATGATCAGGTCCTCCGCCATCTTGCTGAGGTGTGTCATGCAGAGAGAACCCCAGAAGAGGAACTCCGCTTTCGGGGTACGGGTAAAAAGAAGAACGGCCCAGGTTGGAGCCATCCTGAAGTGTTACCCACCCCGGCCCACCAGTCACCTGCCTCCCCATGATGGGGCAATACCCAGGACCCCTGAGAAACATGAGGGAATCCCTGGGATTTAAGGAGAGGTCGAGGGGAGGGTGTGCATGTGAGGAAACCACTGGTGAAACAGGAATTGGTGGAGAACGAAACAAAAATGAAGAGAAGCTGGGGGGAGGGAGTTCCAGGGCCAAGGAAAGGGGACCAGGGGAGCACAACTCACCCACAAAGTCTCTCTCGCTGGTGGCGTCCATGCTGTTGAGGGTGATAGCACTGAAATTCAACTCTGAGGGGCAGGAACAAATCCACAGGGGAATGAGGTGCTTCCCTAGTCCTCTGGGGGGGCCCCAGCACCCCCAGCGTGGTAGTTAACAAAGTCCCCAACTCAGCCTCCGGGCCCCCACCTCATGGGGCGTGACTGGGTGGGGGATGGGAGAGGGAGAGTCTGCCATTCAGCTCAGAAGGGTGGAGAGACGGGATCCTGGCCCCAAGCTGGGTGACCTCTCCTCTCTGGGCCTCAGTTTCCTCCTTTGCCAAACAAGGGGGTTGAACTAGATCTGGGATTCTTAACCTAAGGGGTCCATGGACCCGATGGACAGATGAACTTGAATGGGAAACAAATTTACATCTTTATTTTCACTAACTCCTGGTAAAAATAGGAGTTTATATTTAAAAATTGCATTTTTGTTTTGTTAACCTTTGGTTTTCTTTGTAATATTATGTGTTTTATTTTATGCATTTTAAAAAAGGGATCCATAGACTTCACCAGACTGCCCAAGGGAGTGATGACCCCAAAAGGCTAGGAGCCACTCTGAAGGCCCTTCTGGCTCTGACACTGGCCCCATGGGAGGAGCCCTGGAGCTGGAGGCCCAGGACTGAGGTTGGAACCCTGCCTCGTGACCTTTGAGGGACCCCCCCCCCCCACCCCGGGCCTCTGGGCAGCTTGGGTAGACAGCCTCTGAGGGCCCTTGAGGTCCAAAGCCTAGAACCCTCTGTCTCTGGGCTTTTTGAGGTTCCTTCTAGATCCAAAGCTGTGGTTCTAGGTAGAGGAGATGGAGAGCGTGAAGGGCTTGGAGAGAGGAGGTGATGCCTCGTACCCTGGGGCAAGGCTTACCTTTTCGGAGAAGCTCCCTGTCCACTCCCAAGGGGTTGCCAGCAATGGCCCCACTGGAGGACATGGTGGGAGAGGGGAAGAAGGAAGGAAAACACGGGGAAACTCTAGTTAACAATAATCACGATGATAAAGCAACTTACATCCCTAAATTTCCAGAGTGCTTTCTTCTCAAACCTTTCAGATGTGTGCCCATTTGACAGATGAGTAGGTAGAGGTGCAGAGAAGTGAGGTGACTGGCCCAAGGGCACACAGCCAGCAAGGCTCTCAGCTGGATTTTAACCTGAGGTCTCCTGACTAAGTCTGGGGCCCTGGCTGATGCCCCCGGGGCCTGTGAAACCATTGTCTCTCCCCCCTAACACTCCTGTCTGCTTCATCCCTTCACAGGCCCCCAGAACTCAGCTTAGGGAAGGGGAGGCCATTCACCACCCATCAAACGCAAAGAGAAATCAGAGAAACTCCTCCCTGGCACCAGGAAGGAGGCATCCGGCTGTCTTCTTTGGGAAGCCCTGGTCCCCAGCTGTTTCCGCCCCCGCCTCTCTCCCTGTCATTTTACTCCTGGGCCCAAAGCGTCTTTCCCAGGAGACTTTCAGCCCAGCTCCTAATCCAATGAAGGTCAACAACCTGTGTCCCCTGCAGGCAGGACGACAGGGTTCTAGTCCTGGCTTTGCCCTGGTCCTGGGCGACCTTGGACAAGTCTTAGTGAGTATCTCATAGTGAGACTTTTGATTGGATCTTAGTGGGGGCCTCCCAGTCCAATTTCTTCCTTTTACAGATGAGGAAACTGAGGCCCAGGGAGAACAAGGGACTTTGTAGGATCATAGATTTAGCAGAAAGGCCATCTAGTCCAATGCCCCCACTTTATAGATGAGAAAACCGAGGCCCAAGGGGATGAAGGGAGCTGTCCATCGCCCACACCAGTAGGCTTTAACCAAAGGTTTCTAATTGCAGAGTCGCTTTCCATTAGACCGCAGGGACTGGACGAGATGGCTGCTGAGGGCTCTTTCCACCATCACCACTGTGATTCCTCAATTTCTCCTCTCTGGGTCTCAGTTTCCTCCTAGGGTCTAACCACCCCATTTTCTAGACAGTCCATCTGTTCCCTTCCAGCTGCGACATTCTATAAACACTGGGCCCCTCACTCACCTCCCCAGGGGCAGCACGTCAATTCTTTTCCTCACCTCCAGCAGACGCTCCAGGTCTCGGGACAGGGCCACGGCATGACTGTCGGGGACAGAGGAAAAGTCAGTGCAGGAGAAGATTTGGGGTTCCCGAGGTGGCCTGGCCCCAACCCCCAAAGGCCAGGCTTGAGGCAGAGAAGAGGGTTTGGGGCGCCCTCCTCGCCGAGCTCGTCTTCTCAGGCCAGAAGCCCCCCTCGGGGGCGCCTGCCCTTACCTCAAGATCCAGTGGCTCCAGCGAATGGGCTGAGCCCTCTGCAAGTGGGTGTAGCCCGGAAAGAGCACGTCTTTTTCCCTAGGGCAGGACCAAAGGGGGCGATCAGCACAAACACAGCAGCTTTCCTGGGCACAATACTACTCACACTCTCTACCCCAATACAGGAGCAAGGGCTGTTCGATGGGGCTGCCTGGGAACACACAGGGATGTGGCCGTATCTCGGAGGTCCTTCTGTCCCTCACAACCTGGCCCCCTCCTGTCTTTTCCAGTCTTCTTGAAGGTCTTCTTGCTAGCCTTCAAACCCAACCCTCCATCTCCGACCTCTACACCTTTGCAATGGCTGTGCCCCATGCCTGCAGACTCTCCCTTGTACCCCTGGCCTCAAGACTGAGCTCCAGTCTCACCTCCTATAGGAGGCCTTTCCTATCTCCTGCTGGTCCCTTCTCTCTGAGATGACATGACATTTACTTTACATGTACAATATTTAGCATGCGAACATTCTGAGGGCAGGACCATGTTTTTGCCTTTTTTCATATCCTCAGTGCCTGACACAATGCCTGGCACATAGTAGGTGTTTGATAAATATTAATATATAAATATTAATGAATAAATAATAGATGTTAATAAATAATAAATATTCTTCACTTGTTGACTGTTGACTGACCCCTCCATCCTCTTGGGACTGAGCCCAAAGCTAGGACTGGCATTCCTGACCTAGGCCTCTCCCTGGCTTGTGTTCCCAGGACAGCAGGGAGAGGGGGAGATACTTAAACATTAAACAGGATGCCCCCACTGCTGGCCATGCAAGGGACCTTCGCCCTCTCTGTCCTCAGCTCAGTGGACTCTGGGTCCCAGTTTGCTAACAGTGGGTCCTCGTCTAGCATTTCTTCCCTGTGTACTCTTTCCTCTCCCCCTGCCCCCAACCTGGTCCTGTGAGCCGAGGGTCAAGGAGATGAAGCTCTACTTCTTCCTGCCCCCCCACCACTTTGCCACCCTGCAGGTAGCCTTGACCCTCTGGCTCCTCCTGGGTAGAAGGATCGATTCCAAGGGAGCCAGTGTGTCCAGGGACCCCCAATTCCCAGCCAAGCCTCAGTCCTAACGCTGGGGGTTACTCACCCAGGCCCCCTGTCGTGAGGCACCCCTCTTCCCTGCACCCCAAGAAAAGGTAACCTACAAACAGTTTGTCCCAAAGGGAAGGAGGTGGGGGACACCTTCCAGTAAATACCCGTGTCATAGGTTCACAGAATTAGACCTAGAAGGGACCTTCTAGGTATTAAGTCCAACATTCTCATGAGGAAACTGAGGCCCAGAAGTTAAGGTTACACAGGTGGTAACAGATAAGGCAGAATTTGCACTCAGATCCTCTATCTCCCAAGGAACCAGTCTCTCCACTGTACCGCCTGCCTCTTGTAATAGGAGCTTAATAAATATTTGTCGACTTACTGTTTGATTGGCCTGGAGGATAGCCCAGGATTCCCCACCCACCCACTCAGTCAGTCTCAGGATCTTCCCTCTCTGGGCCTCAGTTTCCTCCTCTGTCAAAAGCAAGGGTTGATGTCTACGGCCCTTTGGAGCTCAGCCATTGTGCGTTCTGGGATTTCACAGGAGGGGGTGACTCACGCTTCGGCTCGCTCCACCATGGTTGTGAGGAGTGTTCGGAGGTGGGCAGACAGTGCAGAGCATGACCCTCGCATCCAGAGCCTCAAGTCCGTGACCACCTGCCAGAAGGGAGAGTGCCGGCTCTCAGAAACGTGGGGGTCCAGGCTCTGTGCAGCCTGAGAGCCAGGGACGCAGCACAGGGAAACCCCCCATGAGGAGGGATGGATCAGAGGGTGGGCGAGAGAAGGACATCAAGCTCAGCAGCGTGGGGGTGGGGGACCGTACCTGGTCATTCCGGCTGCGCCCGGTGTGCAGCTTCCCTGCTGTCTCCCCAATGAGCTCCTGCGAAGGGGTGGGGGACAGGGCGTGTGAACCGCCGCCGATCCCCACCCAAGCCTGCCAGGGCCCAGAACCTCCCCAGCCCTTGGGCCCCCTGAGGGGGTCAAGCCTGAGTCACTTCAGTCACCACTGCCCACCCAGGCTCTGTTCTCCCTCTTGGTGGATGGACAGACCCGTCCCCTCCCCTCCATGGTCCCACTCTTTCTAGCAGGGGCCCCTTCCAATGCAGTCTCAGATCCCTCCCAGCTCCACCCCCGGCTGGAACAGAAAGATGGCGTCTTGTGCCCAGGGAGGCCTTGGACATGAGGGAGTGAAGGGGGTTAGGCTTCCCCCAGAGACTAACGGCCTCCCCGTCTGCCTCCTATTTACCAAGTATATGCTGATTTCTATGCCTGTCGGCTCCCCTGATAGAACGGAAGTTCCCTGAGGGCAGGGAATGTTTCATTTCTGCCTCGGTAGCCCCAGCACCTAGCCTGGGACTTGTTTCAGCAAGTGCTTAATAAATGCTTGATCAGGGAAGGGAAGGGGGGGGGGGTCCGGCCGTACCTTCAGCCTCCGCTCATTTGCTGTATGGATGTCCTCATCACTGGGGTTTTGTACAAATGTGCCGTTGGCCCACTCCTCGGCCACCTGCATCCACAACAGCCAGCCCCAGAGTCAAGATGGCGCCCCACGTGGCTGATACCTCAGTGGGACGGGCAAAGCCGGGAGGCGCCTGCCCAGATCCCACCCTCAGCCTTTCCCCATTAGCAGTCTCTCTGTCCTGCCATTTACCATCTGTTTATGGGACGTGCCCCTCTCCCCCCCAGCAGAATGTAAGCCCTGTCTTGGCATCTCTAGCAAACGGCATCCAGTAGGCATTTAATAAATGCTTCTTGAATTGGATTGAATTGATCTTCCCCTAGAACCCCACAGAGACAATGGCTATACCTGAAAGTGTGTCCTGGGAGCTCCCTTATCCTTGGGGTAACCCCTCAAAACCCAGAGCATCTTTAGCACAGGCTTATACCATGAGTGTTAATGGCATTAAGGGTAACTGACATTTCTGTAGCACGTTAAAGCATTTTATATGGTGCCTTCTCTACCACAACGCTGAGAATGCAAATATCATTATACCCATTTTACAGATGAGGGAACTGAGGCTCAGGGATGGGAGGGTTTCGCTCAAGGCTGTAAAGCTAACATGTTGGGATTTGAACCCAGATCTCCTGACTCCAAATTCAGCAGTTTTTCTACCCCATCACACTGTCTCATAAACATATCACATATATATATATATATATATATATATTTATTGTCATTTTTGGTGTGGATGGACCCGTGATTTCACCAGCTAAGGAGGTCCCTGGTGAGGAAACTGCATCCCCCAGTGCAGATCAGTGCGTATTCTATACCTTCTAGTCTTAAGAAAGCTTCCAGGGCACTGAGAGCTGTGGGTTACTCAGAGTCACACAGCCAGTGTGGGTGAGTGGGGAGACTTGAACCTTGGACAATACATCCCTATGGCTGGCTTCCTAGGCATCATTCCACACATGGTTGAATATTGCCAAATTAGGTAAGAGGAGAATACCTGTCCATGGGGAGGTCATTTTCTCTCTAGAGAGAGGAATGGAAATGACGGGTGCCACTGGGGGGTGTGCGCAGGGAAGAGGGTTGCTGCTGGTACCTTGTCGAGGCCGCAAAGGATCTCGCCCAGCTCTGCTTTGGTCAGGAGCCCTGCCTTCTCCAGTCCTTTGCTGTAGGCCTTGCTGCCCTGGATGTCGGCTTCCCACATGCGCTGGTCATAGGCGATGGATGCGTTGAACTTCTCCATGATGGGGTCAACTGAGCCCACGAACCGGCCACCCCACAGCTTCCCACTCTGCCCAGGAAAAGAAGGGGGCACAGTTAGCACCTGAAGGATCCTGGCGGTGGCCTGGGAGAAAGCCCAGCTGCAGAACCCAAGACCCCCCCAGCCAGAAGCAGACCCACAGAGCCAGGGATGGAAAGGCACCGTTGCAGGTGGGGTGGCAGCTCCAGGTTCTGATGCATCATTTCCCACCAATTAGGGCAGCTAGCTGCTCCCTAGCAGATGGCAGAGCCCAGAACACTGGGCAGCCAAGTTTGAAAGGAAGGCTTAGCACCAGCCCATGGATGTTGCCCAGACAGGGTGGGCAGGTAAAGAAGATTTCTGGTGGGAGTCCCTGAGACCTAGGTGCCATAGAGGGAGCTCAGACACACCTCCTGCTTTATAGATTTGTATCTGATCAGCTGCCCCATTGGGGGACACTGCTTAATCAACCAACAGTCATTTATGAGGCTCTTATGATGTGTCAGCACACACTGGGGGAGGCATCGGTGAACACCAGGCTTCCAAAAGCCAGCACGGGGACCCAAGTATAAATGGCTCCTCCAAATCCACTCAGTCGCCCTGCACTCAATAAACTCCCTGTTAATTACCTCCAGGATCAGCTCCAAAATCCTCTGGCTTTTTGAGCCCTCCACAGCCTGGCTCCCTCCTACCTTTCCCGTCCTCCCTGTTCCTGACTCCAGGCCTTGGAATTCTCTGTCTCATCTCCCCCTGGCTTTCCCGGCTTCCTTTGACACTCAGCTCAAATTACGCCTTCTCCAAGAAGCTTTTGCCTATCCCCCCTTAATTCGATCTTAATTATTAATCTTAATTAATTATTCTATCTTAATTCTTCCTGATGAAATTGCCTCCGAACAACCCTTCTGTGTGTAAACACACATAGATAGATAGATAGATAGGTAGATAGATAGATAGATAGATAGATAGATAGACAGATGAGAGCTGCTGAGGCAGCTAGGTGGCTCAGGGGATAGAGTGTTGGGCCTGCAGTTACAAAGACTTGGGTTCAAATCTAGCCTCAGACGTTTACTGGCTGTGTGACCCTGGGTAGGTCCCTTCACCCTGTTTGCCTTAATCCACTAAAGGAGAAATGGCAAACCACTCCAGAATCTTTGCCAAGAAAACCCCATGGACAGCAGTGGCGTTTTATAGTCCATGAAGTCAGGCACTTCTGAGCACTTCTATTGTAGATGTTGTCTCCCCGTTAAACTGTAAGCTCCTGGAGGACAGGGATGATTTTTGTCTTTCTTTGTCTCCCCATTGAATGCTTGTCCACTTGACTTGTTCCCTTGCTACTTCCAGAGCACCTGGGCAATCTCTTCCAAAGAGCTTTCACATCATTTATCTCTCTGGTCCTCACAATTCCCAGAGAGACAGGCAGAGGAAGTATGAGTGTCCCCATTTTCCTGATGCAAAAACAGAGGCCTAGAGAAGTTAGGTCAGTTGCTTGAGATTACCCAGCCAGTCTATGACAGAGCCAAGAGGCCAAATCTGCCTTGGACTTGTTTTGGCAGAAGGGACCTATCTATCTGGACATTCTCTTTGCTCCAGGAGTGAGCTTAGCCTCCTAGTTAGCCAACAGTTCTGATATAAACAGAAGCTGTTGGGTGATCCAGAGGATTCTGCCCCTTTTGACCTCTCAAGCTTCTCTCTACGCCCACCCAGCCCCTGGGCTTCCCTGTAAGTCTGAGAACTGATACCAGCTCTCCATCTCCTCCCCCAGGCTTCAGCACCAGCTGTGTGACCCTAAGTCCTTTAACAACCTCTCTGTGCCTCAGTTTCCTCATCTGTAAAATAAGAGTCAGGCTAGCTGGTCTCTGATGCCCCTCCTAGTTCTGAAGGTAGGACTCAGTGCTTTAGGCCCCTGACTACGGGCTTCTGGGAACACAGGCTTTAGAGCTGAAAGGGACCTCAGAGACCACCCAGTGCAGCCCCCTCTTTTTACAGAGGAACCGAGGCCCAGGGAGGGAGGCTGACTTGTCCCGTCCTCTTTCCCTCAGCCCCCACAATCCCTGTTGCCATCACCACTCCTTATTTCTCCATTTCTGGACATGCAAAGGGAAATATTGCAGGGAACCCTGGCCCTGACCTTCTGGGGTCAAAGTTCCAAGTGTCCACATAGTTCAGTTAGCCAATCAAGATACAGGGAGGCAGCCAGGCCCCTGGGCTCTGTGTTTGCCTGAGACCTTGCTCATCTCCAAACCCAGCCTCCTTGGAGGGGCACAGCTGTCCCCAATGAAAGCTCACGCTAGTGCGGCAGACCCAACCTGAGGACCAGGGAGCAGGCACCAGGCCTTCTGCCTGACGTGGAATTGTGGGAAGGTGATCCCTGAGAGAGACGGGTTCAAGTCTGGTTCTTTCTCAACCATCCCACCCATGTGACCTTCAGCAGACAATGTCGCCTCTCTGTGCTTCAGTTTACTCGTCTGTAAAATGGGGATAACAGTCCTTTATGTTACCTACTTTATTGGTTCATAGAGCCACAGATCTAGATTCAAAAGGGACCAGAGGTCAGACTTCTTGTCCCAGGCTCATAACCCTAGACCTCATAAGGCATCTAGTCTAATGGTCCCATTTAACAGATGAGAAGACTGAGGAGGAAAGCATTCAAGTGACTTGTGGGGCATGTAGTAAGCATGAGAGGCAGAATTTGAACTCCAGTCCTGACTCCACGGCCAGTACTCCTTCTACTGTACCATAACTCCTCCCTATTTAAAGGAAAGAGCCTCTTCCCCTACCTTAAGGATAGGAACTGGCCGTATGATTTTATTGGTATAGGGAAGTCCCAGGTGAGGAAACTCCCCCCACCAATGCGATCAGCCTTTTCAGTAACTTAGAGGCTTGGAGAATTACCTCAAACACACCTGGAGCTGAATCAGATTAAAATATAATTGGGAAATTGACAAAATAAATAAAAATACAATGAAACATAGATAATGTTAATATGTGGATTTCTAAGTCGATATGCCCCTGAAAGGTTATTTATGTCTCATTTAGTGGCCCATTTCTGAGTTTGGCACAGGCAGAATTTGAACCCAGCCAGAACCTGACGTCAACAAGAAGACTGAAGTGCTCTGCTATGAATCCCCTCAGCTCCCTTCCTCCATTTCTCCAGATCTTTAGACGTCCTCCCCATCATCTCTCTCCTTTCAGTCTTAATCTTCCTTTGTACCTTCCTTGCCCCCAGTGGAATATAAGCTCTTTGAGGGCAGGGTCACTTTCATGCTTGCTGTTTTGAATCTAAAACCTTAAAGCATCATAGAAATGTGTGTTATTATAATAATAATAATAATTAGTGGTAGTATTAGGATTGTTATTAGGGGCTGAAATCTGGCTACAGCCATTGGCATCATTTCCTTCCAAATGACTCACTCCAGCCCTAGCCCAGGGCTGCCTCCCTTACTAACAACAACTTAAGTGCCTCTGAGTTCAAAAGCAAGTCAATTAGCTCTGGACTCCCAACCAGCCCCGAGTGGCCAAGTTGGGCTGCAGGCAAAACTGCAAACTTCTGGAAAACCTTTGGCATCTCTGCTTGGGAGGATCCACTACCTCCAGGCTGGTGAAGCTGGTGGCATGTCAGAGATGGGGAAGGAACAAGGTGTTCTTGAAGACTGGGTAGCCAAATGGTAATCCTGCCAGGGAAAGGGGGTCTTCAAAGTGCCATGACAATATGGTTCAGAAGAAAGGGCCCTATGGGCAGATAGGTGGTACAGTGGATAGAGCACGGGCCCTGGAGTCAGGAGGACCTGAGTTCAAATCTGGACTCATACACTTAATAGCTGTATGACCCTGGGTAAGTCACTTAACCCCAGTTGCCTCAAAATAAAAAAGAGCTTCCACTATTAAAATAAATTAAAAAATAAAAAAAGAAGGAGGAGCCCTGCATTTGTTCAACCTACAGGAAGACTCTGGGTCCTGCTCTGCAAACTTGGCCTGGGTACTTTGCCTCACTGGGCCATAGCTTCCTCATCTATCAAATGAGGAGGTTGAACCCCAGAGGTCCATCCTAGCTTTATCTCTGATCCTATGACTTTCATTCAGGGCATGAAAAGGGTATCATGGATACTAAAAGTGGGTGGGACCTTAGAAATCAGTAAGTCCTGGGATTCCTCACCTTTTTGTGTCCCAGGACCCTTGGGCAAAGCCTAGGGACCCCTCCTCAGAATCATGTTTTTAAATACACAAAATAAAATACCAAGATTACAAAGGAAACAAAAAGCTAGTGAGAATGAAGATGTCCATATTCATTAACTTCCTGAAATCTATTCCTGGATCCCAAGCTTAAAAATCCTGATCCAGCCCCTTTCCCCTGGAGGCCAAGTGACTTGTGTAAGGTCACAGAGGTAACAAGAGGCAAAGCTGGGATTTGAATGCGGGTCCACTGACTCCAATGTGGGGCTGTTTCCACACTTTGCCAGGCATGTGCCCAAGAGGAACCTGAAAGGTGGTTTGCTTTCCTTCCCCTCCCAGTGCTGAAATAACAGCCAGAGACAGATTCTGAGCTACCCTGGTGAGTCGGATAAGGATCATAATTTGCATCATGTCAGTAACTTCCCGAAGTGTTTTGATTAACTTGTTTGGTCTTTGCAATAACCCAGGGAGGTTGGTAGGGCAAGCATCATCATCATCATCATCATCATCATCATCATCATCATCATCCCCATTTTAGAGATGAGGAAACTGAGGTTTGAAGGAGGTAGATGACTTGTCCAAAAGAGCAAAGCTAGGTCTTTTGACTCTCAGACACTAAGTGGATTGAACTACCCTAGGACACACAGCACATCAACAGTAAATGCCACCTTTCATACCGAGGGTTCAAAGTCCAGAGAGATCAGGACCTCAGTGGTCCTCCCACCACCCCTCAGAAGCAGCCAGCTATTATTATTCCCATTTGGCAGATAAATCAAAGGAGGTTAGGTCATCTGTCTTAGACTGAGTGCCCCTGAGTGGCCAGGAACAGGACCCAGGATCCTCACCTCCCAGTGCCTGGCCCTCAGGCTGCAGAACGAATTGAGACAACGGTCCAAGTTGTTTCTGCCTCATTTGCTGACTCCCCCCTCCTTTCCCCATCCCACTCTGCACTTTGACCCTATTGGATTCTTAAAAACATCCTCCTCCCCACCCTCCCTCCTCATTGGATTTCCCTAAAAATTAGCAGCGGCTAGATGGATTTAGAAAACCAGAAAAACTTTAGGGGTCTAGGGCCAAAGGAAGTCTCAGAACTTGAATAAGGAACCCTGAAAAGGCATCGAAGGGCCTGTGTATCTGCCAAAGAAAGATGGGGCATGAAAAGAGGAGGCATAAAAAGCTTCATGAGACTGAGAAATCATGCAAGGAGAAACCCCTCATCTGACTGGGGCTGGGGCAGGATAGGGGGTTTGTCCAATGTGACTGACAGAGCTGGTGTTTGAACCTAGTTGATAAGATGATAGATTTAGAGCTGTAAGTGGCCTCATTTTACAGAGGGCTTAGGGAGAAGTGACTTGTCCAAGGTCACACAGGTAGTAAGTAAGCATTGGAAATGGAGCCAGGGCTCTTTGGGCTACTATGGGAGGAGAGGCGAAAGGCAGGTATGGTTAATCTTTAATGCACTGTGCTATTTCCTCCTACTCCCTCTTTCCCTCCCCATTCCCCAGAGAGCCATTCCACAGACAATTTTTGGCTCCACTGGGTATCGGGGGCCACAAGATTTGGGCAATATGGTAAAAGAGCAGAGCATGATGTAGGGAGGGACAGTGTCAGCAATGACGGGGCTGGCTCCATTCCCCAAGTGGGATATTGTGAGAGTTTTCACATGCAAGCTGGTTGTCTCTTAGTAAGGGAGAGTATAGGGCAGGGAAGCAATAGGAGAGAAGGAAGGAGGGAAGGATTAAGGTGGCCACTGCTTTGCCAGACCTCAGGCGATCTGGAAAGGGAGGGAAAGTGAGAGAGGATGGAACTAGGGACAGGAGGCAAGAAGAAAGGGTCACCTCCTCTCACTCACCTCTTCTGGGAGGTCCTCCCCCTGCACGCCCCCCCCTCCCAAAAAAGAGTGATCTTCGGCATTTTCCTAGGAGAGAAGTTTAGGTACAAGGTGAACCTTCCGGGGGGAGGGGATGGAGCACCGGGGAAGCAGGTGGAGCTAGAGGTGTCTTAGGTGAAGCAGAGAGACGGCTCACCTCCGATGCCATTTTGGACAAGTCCTTTTCCCCTTGGTTGATCTCAGATCTTGGATAATCTGGAAAGTATGACATGGATGGCGTGGGTTAGCTGTCCCCTGGCAGCACCCCACCCCCCCATGCCCAAAGCGGGGTCCCAGCCATTCCCTTTGCAATCAATCATCCACCCCGTGCCCAGAGTAGGGACATAGCCTCTGTCCCCACCCTGGCAGCCCACCGTCCACCCCGTGCCCAGGGCAGGACGTGGCTGCCCTCCAGGCTCTTGCCCACTGGCCACCCGGGAGCCCCGAGCTCCGGCCAGGCGTGCCAGGACAGGGTAGGGCATCTCGCTGCTGCCCAGCGCCACACCCCCTTCCAGGAGGGTGCGGACAGGAGCCCGGACTCACCTGATGCAACTGCTTCTGCCCAGACACCAGCCCCTCGGCCAAGGCTTTTCCTTCCCCGGGAGGACGACGTCACCGGGTCCCCGCTCCCAGGCCCCGCCTCCTCTGGGCGCTGCACCAATCAAGGCCTTCACTGCGGGGAGGTGGGGCTAGCGGCTTTACCTGCCCTTCCAGTGGGTAGCCTCCTGTCCCCAGGCGTCACCCGGCGCCTCCCATATTTGTGTGACCAACTGTTGAGCCTGGATGGTGATGAAATCTGGCTGCCCGCTTGGGTGTGTGACTTCCCCATCTGCTGAACTCTCAGCCTGGCCTGGAAAACGTCTCCTGCGTCCATGTCATCTCCCCACCGGCTCCACCCTGTCTGCTGCGCCTCTCTCCCACCCTCCCCATTTAGATGGAGCTGGACCCCACCCCACCACCCTCTCAGAACCTAGATCCAGAGCTGCGAGGGACCTCAGAGGTCCACCCTCACATTTGACAGATGGGGAAACTGAGGCATAGAGAGCTTTCGGGGCTTTCTCAAGATTATACAGATATAGACCATTTCCGACCAGGAATTTGAACTCAGGTGCTCTGATTCAAAATCCAGGGTTCTTTCCCCCACGCCACGATGCCCTCCCACGCTGTATCTTTGCCCAGCTTCAGCCTTGGTCTTGACACGATCCAAGGTTCTGCCCCCCTCGACATTTTTTTCTGTAAGACTTCTGGAAGTTGCCATCAGCTAGGATCGCGTACAAAACCACCAACAGGTATAGCCACTGAGAATACCAGGTCCATTCATCTGCCTGGCCTGGGCTTTGGCTTTGGTCCCTCACTGACCTCAGAGCCAGCCTGGTACACTTAAAGGGTAAGCAGAGGGGGCAGGGGTCGTGTCTTTGAACTCCCTGCGCGCACACTGAGGTGACGGTGCGATGAAACGCCCTTAGGTTATTACACCATCTACAAGATGTCACTGGAGATCAGTCGGTCAATTTCAGCCTGTCCCTTCCAGTGGACTTGTTTTTTCTGAGTTGTCATGGATCTGACTCAGCTGGATATGACGTTATAATAAGCCTTCTTATTGGTCCTCTTCTCTCCAATTTGTCCTTTGCATGGATGCCAAATTGATGTCCTTGATGCCACCCCCACACTCAAGAAGTCACAGCAGCTCCCTCTTGTTTCTAGGAAAAAATCCAAACTTGCAATTTAGCATTCAAGGTCCTTTTCAATCCCAATGCCAAAGACCCCAATCTGCTCCCGATGGAACTGTCCAGACCGATTTCATTTTGCTCCTCTACCACACACCCAAACTATACTGCTTCCTCCTAAACTTGGCTTCCCTTCTTATCTTTGGATAGAGCCTATCCTCAGTCCAGAAAAACTGTCTCTTCTCACTCCTCCCTCCTGAGAATCCCAAGCTGTCTTCCAGACAGACCCCATGAACCACTTCCTACGGGAAGCTTTTCTTCATCCCCCCTCCCCCAATTGTTTTATATTTACTCATCTGTTTTTATATATTCTGTTATATACTCATCTGTTTCTCATATATTTACTCCAATAAAAGGTGAACTCTTTGAGGGCAGGTAAAGTTTCATTTTTCTCTGTCTTGTCAGCCCTCCTTGGGTTGTTGTGAGGATCAAATGAGATATTTGTAATGAGCTCTTCGAACCTCAAAGCACCGCTTACATGCTAGAGATTATTATTAAAGGGGTGGTAGGGAAGGGAAGAAGTATTTACATAGTGCCCATTATGTGCTAAGCACTGTGCTAAAAACCATTCAGGGTCAGTGCCATTATTATCTCTATTTTCTTTTTTCTTTTTAATTATCATTTATTATTTGATTTTTCCCCAATGACATGTAAAAACAATTTTCAATATTTGTTTTTAAAATTCTGAGTTCCAAATTCTCTCTCTCTCTCTTCCCACCTCCCTCATTGAGAAGGCAAGCAATTTTATTATCCCTATTTTCTACAGTTGAAGAAACTGAGGCAAAAAGAGATTAAGTGACTTGCCCAGAATTACACAGCTAGTAAGCATCTGAGGTCGCATTTGAATTCGGGTCCTGACAACAGTCCTAGTGCTCTATCCACTATGCCACCAGCTGTCCCTATTATTATTATTATTAAATACAGTACATTTGGAGCCAGAAAACCTGGGTTTAAATCTTACCTCTGACACTTATAGCTTTGTGACATTGAGCAAGATGGTTAGCCTTCCTGAGCCTCAGTTTCCCTATCTGTAAAAAAGGGATAATAAGATCCTATCTTATGGGGTTATTGTGAGGATTGGATAAGATTGTGTATGTAATGTGTTTTGCATACTTTGAAGCTGTACATAAATTCCAGCTATTATTGTTCAGTCATTTCAGTCAAGTCTGATTCTCTGTGACCCCATTTAGGGTTTTCTTGGCAAAGACACTAGAGTGGTTTGCCTTTTCCTTCTCCAACTCATTTTACAGATGAGGTAACTGAGGCAAACAGGGTAAAGTGACTTAAGTCACACAGCCAGTAAGTGTCTGAAGGCAGATTTGAACTGAGTCAGGGCTTTGCCCGGGGTTAAGTGTCCTGTCCAGATTCTAATCCCGATAGCAGAAAAGACTACAGTTCTAGCTATCTTTCCACTAGGCCATGTCTGATGATGACCCTGAGCCATTAATAAAAAGACTCATTATGTTCAGGGTCAGCTTCACTCTTCTGTAAAATGGAGATAATAACACCCCCTCCCCCTTCCCCCATCAAATGAAATAATATCTGTAAAGTATATGTATGTGTCTATATAGGAATAGAGGCTAATCTTGAAACACTAAGTATTAGCAATTATTATTCTTTCCTACATTCTGCTTAAGTAGGCACGAAAAAGTTGCTGTGGCATAATAGATCGGGTGCTGAGGTCAGAAAATGAAAGACCCGGTTTCGAATGGTGCCTTACCAGCTGGATCAATATGGTAGAGAAGACTGACACTTTCCAAGTCAGGACTTGGGTAGGGAGCAGATGACCCTGCTATCCCTTCCCACTCTAAATCTAGGGAACTAAGCTGGGTGACCCTGGGTAAGTCATCTGATTTCTCTGTGCCTCAACCAGCTCCCTAGGATTTGGCTTTTAAATAATTCCTGCATTGTTTCTGCTCAGCGATTAAATCACAGATTCCTCATGTAAGAAGGCAAACAAGTGTGCAGAAAACCATTCTTCTAAAAGAATTTTTGTGCTTATGGGAGTACACCCAGAGCTATCCTCAAAAGACAGAGATAAACATAGGCAAGGCCTTCCATTCATTCAGCAAACACTTGGTAAGACAGGAGTGACCCACAGTTTGGATAAGATAGGGTCCCAGCAATCTAGTTTACAGTCCAGTAGGGAGAAGAGAAATGTACACTGACCTCTAGCTAAGTGCCCTTTGGACTTGCAAAAACTCCACAAAAGTCCAGAAGGGAGAGAGAACTGAGGCAGACACGGGTCATATCCATTCGCTTGGTTGCTTTAATAGCAAGACTTTCTGACCCCAAATGCAGGAAGGTCGAGTTTCAAATCCATGTCTACCCACCCACCCCACCCCACTGAAGTCAATGTTTTCTCCTTTCTTTCCTGACCAAATTCCTTCCCACCTTCTAGTGTTAATCAACCAAGTCATTAAGAGTAGGGAAGCTTTCCTTCTTTGTCTTGGTATCTTGGGCCTGGAAGAAAACCAGGTGCTTAATAAATACTTGATCAACAAACATTAAGTACCTACTATCCCCATCTCTACCCCCCCACCACTAGTTCAAAGTACTGGAGTGGGAAGCTCAATCCACTAATACGAACTTATTAAGTGCCTACCCTAAGCTCCTTGAGAGCAGGGACTGGTTTTTTGCCTCTTCCCGTGTCCCAAGGCCCACTTGATCACTGTTTGGATTTGGATTTCTCAGAGGGAACGTAAACAGCAATTGTTTCTGTTTTGGCCAGAAACTCAGTGTTTTCCCCTTCCAGACTGATTTTTTTTTTTGGACTAGGCAAAAGAGGCCATTCTCTGCCTCATTTCTTACCTAGCTTTAATCACTGAATGGGGTGTTGCTTCAGTGAAACTGAGACCTGGGAAAAACCTTAGCTTGAAAAGGCCAAGGTCTCCCACCGCATTAGGGCCATCTCCGGGCGTCCTGATCTATATTTTGCCACTTGACGGAGAGGCTCCGGAGGACAAAGTGAGGCTGGTGACTGCACAGCCCTGCCTCACTTAAATCCAGTCACTTGCATGTCATGGCGTCACCTTCAAGAATGAAGGACAAACGACAATAATCCCCAGCAGTTCGGCACAGCTCCTGGCCCAGGGCAGAAGCTTAATAAATGTTTATTGAAACTGTGTGCCAGGTTCCACCGGGCATCTTGGGCTAGCAGCAATCAAGGACCGATTCAGCTCCAACCAGGGGACTGGAAGGCAAAAGAGAGCCAGTCCCTGACCTCAAGGAGCTTGCACTTTAAAATGCAGCCAAGTCTGCAGACCCGTGGCAAAGGCAGAGGGGCCCAAGGCGTTCCTCTGCTACTTGCTCCCTGAGCTCCCATCCCCGGAGCCACAGCTAGGGGGCTGGGCACTGCAGGCGGGGGCTCGTAGCTAAGTGAGCGCGCGGCGTGCATCCGGAGGCGGGCCCGGCGTGCGTGCGTGCGCGCGCGCGGAGGGTGGGCGGTTCCGTGGCGTGCCCCGGGAGTTCTGCCCCCCCGGCCGCCCCGCGGCCTGCAGCTCGGCTTGGAACCCGCATTCCGGGCCGTGGAGGAGCGGGGAGGAGGAGGAGGAGGAGCCACGATGGAAGTGTGAGTGGGCAGCCCCGCGCGCGCGTGGGAGGGGGAGAGGGAGGCCCGGGCTGGGGGAGGAGGGTGGGGAGCGTCCGCGTGTGTGTGCATGCGTGTAGGTGCACACGTGCGTTTGTGCGTGCGCGCGCGTGCATTTCTGGGCTCGCATGCGTGTGCGTTTCTCAGCGTTTATTAAGCTCCTACTATGTGCCCCGCACTGATCCAAGTGCTGGGGAGACGGTCCCTGGGGTGCGCGTGTCCGGCCGTGGCCCCGTCCCCGCGTGGGCCGCGGTGCAGGGGTGGGGGCAGGGCGTGTTTGTGACTCGGCAGCACCGACGTCTTTCCTATTTCGCCCCCGCCCCCATCCCCCCTCTCCCCCCCCAACCCGGAGCCCTTCATGACCCCCTCCCCCAGGCCAGTGTGGACACTGCCCAGCTCCGGCCGCTCCGACCTTCGCGGTGCACACGCTCCGTGGCTTTATCTCGGGCGCCTGTTTGGTTAATTTTTAAAAAAGTAATTAGTTTATTTTGATTTGTCAACAGTCATTTACATATGCTTTTGAGTTTTAAATTTCCCCCCCCTCCCTCCCCAAGACAGCATGCAATCTGATATAGGCTCCACATACACATTCCTGTTAAACATATTTTCCCATTAGTCATGTTGTAAAGGAGAATCAGAGCCGACAGGAGGAACCAGCAGAAAGAGGAAACAAAACGAAACAGAAGGAAAAAAGTAGCAAATGGTCGCTTCGGTCTGCATTCGGACTCCGTAGCCCTTTCTCTCCATCGTGAGACCTTTGGAGATGCCTTAGATCCTTGCATTGCTGAGAAGGGTCAAGTCTGTCAAAGTCAGTCATCGCACACCGTGGCAGTGACTGTGTACAATGTTCTCCTGGTTCTGCTCTCTTCACCCACCATCAGACCATACACGTCTTTCCAGGTTTTTCTGAAGTCTGCCTGCCCATAATTTCTTATGGCACAATAGTATTCTATCACATTCATATACCACAACTTGCTCAGCCATTCCCCAGTTGATGGGCATCCCCTCAATGTCAAGTTCTTTGCCACCACAAAAAGAGCTGCTATGAATATTTGTGCACATGTGGGTCCTTTTCCCATTTGTGTGATCTCTTACAGCCCTAGACCCAGCTATTGCTGGGTCAATGGGTATGCACATTTTTATAGCCCTTTGGACATAGTTCCAAATTGCTCTCCAGAATGGTTGGATCAGTTCACAACTCCACCAACAATGCATTGATGTTCCACATCTTCTCCAACATTTATCATTTTCCTGTTTTATCTTGTTGGTCAATCTGATAGGTGTGATGTGATACCTCAGAGTTGTTTTGATAATCAGTAGTGATTTAGAGCATTTTTTCATATGACTATAGATAGCTTTAATTTCTTCCTCTGAGAACAGCCTGTTCGTATCCTTTGACCATTTGTCAATTGGGGAATGACTTGTATTCTTATAAATTGGACTCAGTTCTCTATATATTTTAGAAATGAGGTCTTTATCAGAGACACTGGTTGTAAAAATTCTTTCCCAGTTTTCTGCTTCCCTCCTAATCTTGGATGTATTGGCTTTGTGCAAAAACTTTTCAATTTAATGTGATCAAAATTAACCACTTTGCATTTCATAATGTTCTCTGTCTCTTGTTTGGTTGTACATTCTTCTGTTCTCCATAAATCTGACAGGTAAATTATCCCTTGCTCTCCCAGTTTGCTTGCAGTATCAGCCTTTATATCTAAATCATGAACCCATTTTGGCTTTATTTTGGCATATGGTGTGAGATTTTGGTCTATGCCTAGTTTCTGCCATACTCTTTTCCAGTTTTTCCAACAGTTTTTGGCAAATAGTGGGTTCTTATCCCAGAAGCTGGAGTCTTTGGGTTTATCAAACAGTAGATTACTATAGTCGTTGACTACTGTGTCTTGTGTACCTAACCTGTTCCACTGATCCACCGCTCTGTTTCTTAGCCAGTACCAAGCAGTTTTGATGATTTCTGCTTTATGATACAATTTAAGATCCAGTGTGGCTAGGCCGCCTTCCCCTGCATTTCTTTTCATTGTTTCTCTTGATATTCTGGACCTTTTATTCTTCCAAATGAATCTTACTATTATTTTTTCTAGTTCTGTAGAATAATTTTTTGGCAGTTTGATTGGTATGGCACTGAATACTGCTTGGTTAGTTTTATTCATTTATCAGCATTTTTATGTAATCTTACGGGGGCTGCCCCCAACCTGCCAGGGGGCTGGTGACTTGCACATGGTCATGCCATCAGCACGTGCTGAGTAGGTCTGTTGAACTCTGTGTGGCCTCTGACCTGGACTAGACGGGAGATCTTTGGACCAGTTCATGTCACTGTTGAGCCTCGGTTTCTTCATCCTAAAATCCACCAATCAGCAAATACTTATTAATGAACTACTGTATGCCCAACAGGCCAGGTGTTAGGGATAGGCATGCAGAGACTAAAACCATCCTTACTGGAAGGGGCCTTGTGATATTTTTCAAAATTAAGTTTGTTTTTTTTTTAATTAGCCAAAATCTGCCTTCTTTCCTCCCCTCTTCTTGAAAAAGAGGAAGAAAAACAAAGCCTTTGTAACACACGTGTATAGTCAAGGAACTGGTCATGTTCCTAAAATATGTCTGGCTCAGTCTGTGCTCTGGGGTTGATGATTAGGAAGTGGGTATCATGTCACGGAGGGTCCTCTGGAATTGAGGTCTGCCCTTGGTCATTGCATTCTTCAGAGTTCCTGAATCTTTAAAAGTATCTGTTTTTACAATAGTTTTGTTATTGTGAAGATGGTGCTCCTGGTTCTGCTCATTTCACTGTGTGTTAGTTACTGCAGATCCCTGTTTTCTTGGAAATCCCCTGCTTCAGATACTATATGCCTTGTTCAGCCTTCAGCCCTGCAGGCCAGGGTTCTCTGCCACCACAAAATTAGCTGCTGTAAATGTTTGTGTACATATGGGCCTTCTCCCTTTTTCATTGATCCCTTTGGATAGAGCTTAAGGGTATGCACAGTTTAATCACTTTTTGGGCATAACCCCAAACTGCTTTCCAGAAAGGCTGGACAATTCAACCGTTGTACCCATAGTGTATTAATGTACCTGTTCTCTCACAGACCCTCCCGGCGTTTCTTATTTCCCTTTTTTGGATAACTCTGCCAATCTGATGAGTGTGAGGTTGTTAAAACAACCATTTCTTATTGTTCAATTGTGTCCAACTCTTCATGACCCCATGGACCATATTGTCCATATTGATGCTGGAGTGGTTTGCCATTTCCTTCTCCAGTGAATTAAGGCAAACAGAGACTGTTTTAATTTGCATTTCTCTAATTATTGGTGATTTAGAGGCCGCCCCCCATATGGCTTAAATTTCTTCTTCTGAAAACTTTGTTCATTTCCTTTCATTTCTGTTTATCAATTCAGGAATTGATCGTCTTGTAACTTTGAATCATCTTATAAGTTTGAATTACTTCTCTCTGTACCTTAAAAATAAAGCTTTTATCAGAGAAACTTACTGCAAAGATTTTTTCCCCCCATTTTCCCCATTTCCCTGCTTCTCTTCTAATTTTAGCTGCACTGGTTTTGTTTGTGCAAAGATTCTAAATTGCCTGTAATAAAAGTTGACCATTTTACCTTCTGTGATCCTCTCTGTCTTTTGTTTGTTCATGAACTGTCAGGAGCTTCCATTCTAATAAGGAGATTGGACTAGAGCAGGGGTAGGAAACCTGCAGCCTTGAGGCCACATGTGGCCCTCTAGGTCCTCAAGTGCAGCCCTTTGACCGAATCCACGTTTGGATTTGGCCAAATGTGGCCTCGAGGTTTCAGAGTTCCCCACCCTTAGACTAGATAGTCCCTTCTGTTGTGTAAGACCAGCCCTCAGTCCACCAGGCTATACTGTCTTTTTAATGTCAGTAACAATGACAAAAACTTACATTTATATGGTGACGTAAAGACTTTGCTATTTCATCTCAGCTTCTAAGGTCCATGCTAGCATTGTCTGCTTATTGTAACCGATAGAAGGCAACTGACTTCAGAGTAGCTGCTTAGGTCTAAGTCACATATACATTGTCTCCGTGACCCTGGTCACATCACACTTATCTCTGAACCCCAAGCCACTCTCTAAGACCACAAGGTGGAAAGTACACCATCACCCCCCCCATGGGAGTGAAACCACAGGTCCAACCAGAAAAAAAAAGTGCATCAGTGGAGGGAGTTTTCCATACTGGGAATTCCCCGTAACCCATGAAAACATGGAGTAGTTGTTATTACTAATGTAAGAGTACTGTGGGTGTATATGCATAATTATGGAATATATGTAGGTGAGAGCAAGGGATAACAATGTCTAGGGTATAGCGGAAAACAGTGGCGGTGGAATCTGGACATGGGGTAAGATCTCTACTTCACCACTTACCTGTGTTATGTTAAGGCAAATCACTTAATTTTGTTGTTTAGCTTCTAAAATGATTGAATTGACTTCACCTTTAAATTTCTTTTGACCTCCAAATCTGTGATCCTAATATGTACGTGTATGTGTGTGTGTATATGTATGTGTGTGTGTATTTATATTTATATGACAATTAGGGCGTTAAGTGACTTGCCCAGGGTCACACAGCTAGTAAGTTTCTGAGGCTGAATTTGAACTCAGGTCCTCCTAACTCCAGGGCTGGTGCTCTGACTATTGCTCTACTTAGCTGGTTGTGTGTGTGTGTGTGTGTGTGTGTGTGTGTGTGTGTAGGTATATATATATATAATATATATGTATGTATGTATATATTTAAATATTTTATTTTTTCCAATTACATATATAAACAATTTTTAACATTTAAAAAAAATTTGAGTTCCAAATTCTCTCCCTCCCTCTCTTGCCTCTCCTCTCTCAGAGAAGGCAAGCAATTTGATATAGACTATATATGGGCAGTCATGCAAAACATTTCCATATTAGCCATGTTGCAAAAGAGAACATAGACCGAAAAAACCAAGAAAAAAAATTTAAAAGTCTGCTTTGACCT